TCTTCAGAGCAGCCTGGGGAGTTACTGGCCAGTGAGGGCCCTGCTTTCCCACCCACAGCTTCCACAAGGAAGTTCCAGAATGGGTGACAGGTTTAAAAAAAATATTGAATTTTTTTGTTTCTTTAGACAGACAGGCTAACTAACTGATAAACCAGCAAAGGCTGACAGCTTGCTAAAAGCAGACCTTACAGGGGAACAGGAAAACCACCCCAGGGGACTTATAGGAAAAAACAATGAAAAGCCAACCCTGACCACCACAGCTTTTTTCATAGCTAGCGGCTGGTATGCCGAGTAGCTACTCCATTAAAGCAATAGAGAAAACAGACCAAACATCCTTTGATAAGGAAAAAAAAATCCAAACCTACCAATCTGCTGATGAAAGTCCTCCCCTCTACACTCACTTTAGGAAGTCACATTCATCACCTCACATCAGCAACACAGCCCACTTCAGCACTGTCTATAAGTGCCACACCCCATTGCTGATAATTACTTACTAACAGCAAATTATCCCCAAAATGCTTACACCTGAGCAGGGGTGGGCTTCAGACTTAGCTTTCCTGCAAACAGGACCCACCTGGGCACCCTTTTCCAAAAACAGATCAGGCGCGCTCAGCTGCTGGGCAGTCATGAGGTACTGGCCCTGATGTGGTAAACAGGTCAGTGTGTGGCCTGGCCCGGCCCGTGAGGTAGCCTGGCTTCTTCTCTCACAATATGCCTTCCATCAGTAATATGGTGTGTTGCACAGCCTAAGAAGGTCCCAAGATGCTTTACGCTTCACTCAGGATCTGATCTCTGAGAAGCAGGCTCCTGGGCTGAGGCAGAAACAGAAGGTATAGGGGCACCAGTGCCCCATGTGGGCCATACCCCCGCCTTCCTACGTCCACCGCTACAGGTAGCATGAGGCTACTTTCCAGGGACTAACAACTTTAACTGTTTTGAGATGCTATATGACAGACTGGCGTGCTCTTTCCTGGAGAGCACACTGGACCAATTTAGTTCTTCACTGTTGCAATTATCTCTTGTGTTCCCCATGATGCTTCCTAGTCATGTTTAATGCATGGCAAAAGTTGTTCTCTTTTTTTTCTGTGTTACATGGAACTTTTTCTTTTTTGTTAAATTACTCTTATTCTGCTTGCCGTGTTTCATGCTATTAGAGGAGCAACCTCTGTCTGCATTGCGAGCCAGTACAGAGATACATGCAGGAGTTGCTGGTGCTAGTAGCTGAAGGCAGCTCATAAATGCTTCCTACCCACAGGACTAGATCTCCCGGGACCGGGGTTTTAATGCTGTAACTGCTCTTTAAAATGGAAACAGACACACTGTTAATACTGATGTTAACAAGTAGTTATCCTGCATAATAAAACGTGCTTCTTATCTGTTCGTTGCTGCCTACATCAAGAGCCCTTCCCCTGGAAGGAGAACCTTTTCCTCTGTGTCTGCAGTGGCTTAAATGTGACAAAGTCCAGAGCAAGGCAGTATTAAGGTCATTTGTTTTGTTTGATTTTAATTCCAGTAAGGTAGTTTTAATATTCTTTTCAAAGACTTGAGTTGTCCCAAAAAAATCACTTCTAATCATCTTTTACTGCCCTTTCTCCAGCTTCCAAGAGCTCATGTCTTAGCATAACTCCTTTTCATATTTCTTTCTCTTTCCTCCTTGCTTTATTAAAACATCAATCTGGGGAGCCATTTTATCTCTAAGGCGATTTTTTAACTTCCAAATTTAACATGAGATGTACAGAAAACTTTTTTTTCAGCTGACACTGGCAAATGGCCAAACATATTTTTTCAATACTTTCTGATAAATACTTGCTATTCTGAAGAGCAAGATTTTTCAGTAGTCAGAAGGATGTGGGATGCTATTAAATTAAATCCAAACTTTTGCACATCTTAAAGTACAGCAGTAACTAAGCATTCCTTGTGTTTTAAAATTTTGTTATTTAAATGCTGCTCTAAAAGATGGAACAAAATAGAAATGATTAGGAATCTCAGCTGGATGTCATAGAAGATCTGTAAGAAGAAGGGATTACTTGAAAAATCCATCGCTTTAAGTAGCGAGGAAAAAAAGGGGAATTTCTAAACAACTCATAAGATCTCTGATAAAGAATAAATACCACTTCTGTCTACTTACAATATATTTAATGTGCAAATACTTGTGCAAAAATTACATCTATGCTTTGTTAAAGGGAGACTTAAAGGACACTTAAGTCCTTCCTTCCTTGCTAATAGGAACTGATTTTTCGAACACACATGCTCAAGACTTACTGGATTATTTGCATAAGGAGTCAATAAAGCTTCACAGAATTAATATAGGAAAAGGATCCAAGGCCATATTTTAAAATCTAAACTTACTAGGACTCCAACTTATCACTCAACAGGATTACTTCCAGGATAAAGTGTTTAAAACCAACTCCAAAATGCAAAGAAAGTATCTATCTCCACTCCTGCTTTGAAGAATTCTGTAGGACTCTTACAAATTAAATTACAAATTTTACAAATGTTTATACAGTTATAAAATCCCACCTTAATCACACAACAATGTAGTCAATAAAATTTCTAATGTCATGAATGAATTTTGCACCTGTTGACTCAGTTATATAGCATTTACCTAAACCTTTCCATAAATTAAATATTTCTCAAATTCTCTGATGCAGTGAACTTCCAAAGTGTTTGTTCAGTCACTTCATATCAAGTTTATAAATCAAGCTACAGTAAGATATCCATAGTTGTTGCTTATTACAGTCATTTCAGCTCATATTTGATCAGGCTCTAAGAAAATAAAGGTGGTCGCATGATCATAAAATAAAATTCCCAATATTGGAAATGAGGTAAAAATGATGTGGAAGTATTTTTACCTCTGTATAAAAAAAAGTTTGCTAATTTAAAAAGCAAAAAGCCATTACATTACCCTAAAGGTGCTGCTCTGACCTAATACAATGAAAGGCCTTTCCTTACCAAATGAGTAGCATCACTGTAAACATTCTCTTCAATGGACAAAATGGTGCTGCTCTCTCACCTCTTTTTCTCCATCTTCGTCTGTCACCTTGACAAAGTTCCCTGATGGTGCTATTTTTTTTTTTAACCTGATGGTTGATTAAATGCTTCCATCATCAGTGGTAATGCTGACAAAAATCGTATTATTGCATTTGTTAATTTTTTAAGAGTGATATTGTGAGTCACCACAATGACCTCAGATGGAACAGCTGTCACTTTGTGCACATGTATCTGGCCCTCCCTAGGGCTCTTTATCCCATTAAATTAGAAAGGTCTCCTTTTAATGATGCACCATGGGTATATACCTGCCAGGTAAAAGAGTGAACTGCATTAAGGTGGAAATGTAACAGACAGCAGATCCCTCTTTTATTATCAAGTAAAACGTTCATTAAAACTACAATGCCCAAAGTTTCTGTTTTGCTAGAATTAGTCAGAAGTAACTCCACAGAAAGCAGTGAAGTTGCAATTGATGTAATTACAGGATAAACTTGGCTCAGAACTTTCTCTTCTAAGGTACAATAAGCTGTTGAAAGTAGCTGGGCTTTTCCACAGGGAAGTAAATACAAAGAGAACAAATGCTTGAGAAAAAATAATAGTCCCTTATGACTAGGAAAACACCTACCTTTCCAGTGGCATTCTCACCTCCAAAAGAGGTGTCCAGGGCTATTTGGAGCTAAAAGATGGGACCAATCTATTTCCAGCTGAATTCAGATATTTTCAATCTGTTTATTCACTTGAGACTATTAAGAATATCTTCTGCTTGACCCCAAACAGCATACATTTTGGGAAGAGTACAGTTTTGGAAAGGCAAGTTATAAATAATAATAATAATAATCAGATTGTAAGAGAAAGCAGATAACGGGCATAAAGGAAAGAAGAAAGGAAGAAAGCAAGCTTAGATTTTTACAAAGGTTATCCAGTAAACAGTCATTTGAGGCTGAATATTGTAGTCTTTTTACCAAGCTCTGTTCTTTTCCCTCAAACTCTGTGGGCTGCAAACCTCTCTTAATGTGTACCTGTGAGGAGCTCGGTGTTTTTCACTGGTTGACAAAAATATAAATATTCAGCCCCAAATACATTTAGCCTAGCTCTTCTGTATTTCAAACAAAAACTCCAATATAGTATTTTTCTAAGTTTATTCCTTGGATGGTTTGTTATAAAGCATCACTTTTTTTTTTTTTTTTTTCTTTCTTTTTTTCCCTGTTTTTTGTTATTATTCTAGAGAAGAATTAAACATCGGACAATGGTTATTACCAGAATTGTATAAGACATACATCTCTCATCTTCCTAAAACTTTCCAAGATCCCTGTTTAGAAATGTGTATTTCTCTGGTTCTTAATTGTCTAAAGACTGACACTGCTGACAGTGCCTCATGCTCGTACATATCAGAATCAACCCCCAGGACTGCGGGAGAGGGTTGTAAACCCGGAGCTAGCAAAGTGAATACACTGTTTTGCATTTGCATGCTAGGAACTTCTGTCCGTGTACATTTCACCATTTAAACATAAGCTTCTATAAAACATGGGGAAACTCCTTCCAAGAGAATAACAGGGATGGATATATAACACTCCTAGGAAAGGGTCTGCAAACGCATGCCATGCGGTCTGAGCAAGCATAAGCAAAGGTGGAAATACACGCTTCTTTGAAGGCAGAAAGATTGTATCAGCAGCGGGCAGGCCGGGAACGCTACGTGCGACCGAGATTTGAGGAGATGATTACTGGGACCGTCACGAGCATCTCTTTAAACTTTTCTTCAGCGAATTCCAAAACACTTTGGGAAACGCAGGGAACCACCCAGCACTCCCGAGAAAGCCGGCAGCACAGCTGTAGCGTTTCGCCGCTATCCGAGCCCCGCTGTCACCCCCGGGGTGCCTTTCTCGAGACCCCCGTACCGTCCCCGGGAGGCCCACCCGGGGGGCACCCAGAAGAAGGCACGGCCGAGGGCGGGCGGCGGAGCCCAGCGCCGACGGAGCCGGGGAACGGAACGCCGGGTCCCGCCCCGCTCCTACCTGGTAGGCGTCGGGGATGTTGACCGTCTCTCCGTGCTCCGCCACGTAGCCGATGATGCCCTTGCCCCAGGGCACCTGCACCTCGCTGCTATTCTCGGTGGAGCCGCAGGGCAGCAACGGGGTGCCGGCATGTACGTCGAAGAACTTGGAGACCAGACTCTTCTTGCCGGCGGCCGCCCCCTCCACCAGGAAGAGCGAGCCCCGGTCGGCGTCCACCATGAGGCAGACGAAGATGAGGATCTTGTAGCTGAGGCTGGTGAGGTCCAGGTCGTTGGAGATGTCCTTGACCAGCTCCAGGAAGAACTGCCGTTCGTTATGCTCCTTGAGGTAGCGCTTGTAGTCCAGGGCCGGGGGCGGGTATTGGGGCAGGCTGACGCGGGACTCCAGCAGGGCGCTGAGGATGTGCGCGGTGGTGGGGGGCAAGGAGCTGGCTTTCCGCAGCAGTGCCCGGCGCCGCACGCTGCTCAGCGGCTCCTGCGCCCGGGCGTGCACGTGCTCGTCGTAGGTGAGGTTGACGTGGATGGCCTTGGAGCGGGCGAAGCTCTTCCGCAGCTCTTTCTGGGAAGCCCGCCGCTGCAGCCCCCCGGCTCCGGGCCCGCCCGAGCAGCCCCAGCCGCCGCCGACCCGCCGCTCCTCCGACGCTCCGCCGGCGGGCGCCTTGGGAAGCGAGTTTCTCCTTTTCAGCCACCTCTCCACCAGTTCGGGGTGCCTGTCCAGGAAACTTTCCACCGCTGCCACGTCGAGGCCGCCGTCGGCTGCCATGGTACGGGGAGCGGGGGCGTTTCAGGCCATGCCCCGACGGGAGCCGATGCTGTCCCGCGGCCGGGCCGGACCGGCTGTCTTCGTCCCCCCGCTGTTCCCGCGCCCTCCTTCTCCTGCCACCTTTTATTATTACTGTCCGCCTTATTCCAGGTATTCTTTCCGCTGCCCGCCTCCTGCTCCTCCTCTGCTCCTCGGTCCCGGGCTGCCGCCTCGCCTCTGGAGATGCTCGGGCAAACCCCTCCTGCCCGGCTCTGTCAGCGCTGGTGGCGGCGGCTGCGTAACCCAGGCGGCGGCCCACTGAGCGAGGGGGGAGGCGGGGAGGGAGGGGAGGGCGGTGGCAGGACGCGTGAGCCGCACGGGGGGGCGGCGGGAGGAGGCAGCGCCGGAGAGCCCGGTTGAGGGGGAGAGGGGCGGGAAGGGGGCGTGCGGGGCCGAGAGGGCCCGGGGCGAGGGGAACTCGCGCAGCGCTCGGGGATTTTGGGGCGAGGAGGGGTCCTTTTGTCTGCCACGCGTGTGCGGGGAAGAGGCATCCCAGCGCTGCGGGGAGAGGTAGCGCGAGTGTTGCTGTCGGAGCGGGTTAATTGATAGCATCATCTGCCAGGCTCGAACAGGACGAACGGAACGAAAGGAGCTCGTTCAGACCTAGTGAATTCTTGGGTCCTCGAGCGGAGGTGCCTGCATGTCTCGGTGCCCCGCTGGTCCGGCGCCGAGTCGGGGGACCGCCACGGGGCCGCCGCCGCCCTGAGCTCCCAGCGGGGATGTCGCCATCCGCCGGGGACGGGCCCCCGGCCAGCGCCGCATTCACCGAGGCAGGCGGTGCGGGGTTATTCCCGTGCGCACGTGGAGCACGTTTCAGCACTCCACCGATGCCTACGCAAAAGCGATTGAAAAAAAAAAAAAAACACGGAGTCATGGAGCCTAACACGTGAAAAATGTCTTTCATGCGCTAGGTAAAGACTGAATGAAGGCGGCTTCAGAAATTCATGAATGGGAGTTGGGCTGGCTGGGAAAAGACGGGCTAATCCGAGATCGGAGGAGATTCCCCGCCGCCGGACTCCCCGTTCCTACTGCGGTCCGTCCGGCGCGCAGCCCGGATACCCTTCAGAGCGGGGCTCGCGGGGACACTCGGGGCTCTCCGCCGCAGCCGCGCGTAGCGAGAGGTCGGGCGAGTGCTGCGGGCACCGCGGCCCGGAGACAGCTCGGGGAGCGGCAGACAAAGGAGCTCGCCGCTCGCCTCACTGCGGTTCCGAGCCGCCGGGGCTCTGTGCCCCTCGGCGGGCCCCGCTTCGCCGCGGCTCACCCCCCTACTCTCCCCCCCGCGCGGGGCGGCTGCGGCAGGAGGCCGGCGCTCCATTGAGAAACCGCCGGTGGCTCCGCTTCTCAATGGGGCGGAGAGGGGCGCGCAGGCGCGGGCTGCCGGGGCGGGGAAGGGGAGCGGAGCCGCGCCCCGGCCGCCCAGGGGTACCCGGCTGCGGAGTCGCGGGCGGCGGGGCCGCGGGGTGACGGGCTGCAAAGGGGCTTCTCCGAGCTGCCTGCGCCTCGGCCCGCTGCTGAAAAGCTGTCAGGGCTGAGGAATGGGGATAGCTGCCCCTCAGCCTCTGTTACAGCACGGAAAGAGGACACCGTCGAGATGCCGGCCTCGCCGCCCGCGGCCGCTGTGTAAGCATCGCCCTCGGGAGGCACCTGCTCGCCCGCAGCCGCCAGTTCCCGCCTGGCCTTTCCGCTGGCATTTACTTTTTGCAGCGCTGGTACAAACATGTCGTCTGCGCAAAGAAACAGCTTAAGCTGCTGAGCGCCTGGCAGGCAGGCACGCACCTCGATCTCTCAGCAGATGCCCTTTAGGCATCTCCATACGGTTGAAATAATTGTATGTACACAGTTTTTTTTCTGCCATCTCAGTGTAGTAGCGCTCATACCAGAGCTTTACTACAAAATGGGTACTGTGTGGCACTTCTGTGCATAGGCAATGTAGTGTTTCTATAAGTTTAGGCAAAAAGCTTTTCCCATATCTCTTCATAGAGGCTATTCTGTGAGTTGTTGCAGTAAAGCCCTCCTTAGAAGCCTGACCTGTTGTTTCAGCAGATGTTAGGAGAGAATTTGGGTTTGCCTGCAGCCTGGTGCATGTCAGAGGATGCCTCCATTTGCAGCGTGAGTACACTGAGCACACCATACTCTGGGCTCCAGCTTCAAGTGTGGGCCTAAGATAGATAGATTAACTACAGCTTTTCTTAAGAGAGACAAAAAGGCACATGGATTTTGTCAGCTCCACGGTTTTGTTATGTGCTGTCATAGTTCTAAAGGTATGCTGCCACTGCATCTCATGTATGGTCAACTGATTGTTGGTATGGATTTATGATGCCAACTCTGACAGCATGGCAGCTTTGCAGCCTGGTCTCCTAAGGCACAAAGCATACAGATGCATTAACAGGACAACAAGCAGAAGCATCAGTGCATTTATCAGGCAGCCTGTTTCTCTATTGAGAAAAGAAGGGGCATAGCACCCTTCAAATGCAGTTGAGGAAAGTACCTGAGGAAACTTTGTCATTCAGGCAGATGCTTCACTTTAATTGTCTGTAAATACTCAACAGAGCAAGTCCTAAATATTAAACTTGAAACTGGAATGTATCTTAGAGCTACAGGACACAAGGAAAGTAAAGCTGGTACTCATTCACATGTGTCATAGAATGATTTATCTCACTTTCACTTACTGCCTTTGCTAAATACAGAACTCACTGCTCTGGAGCTCTTTAAGACAATTAATTGAAACCCCTAGTTGGCAAACACTGGAACAGTACTGATGAGTACCTGGGCACAGACATGACAGCAAATTAGTTTTGTACTAATGCTGCTTTTTGTGATGACATAAGGAAACCTTACTGGAGTGGGATACATTTTAATCATTTTTAAATCATTTATGTAAACAGATAATTAAATTGTAAATCTTGATTCAAGTGGTAAAGGAGAATTCATGAGGTTTTAGGAGGAGTGTAATCACCTTCAGCAACAAGTTAGTGAAAATATTATTACTAATCTCAGTTGCTAGAGTTAGTCAGCACTCAATCATTCTACGTGTTAGAGGAAACCTCATTATATTGGCATTGAGTGGAGAAAAAATCCACAACTCTGAAAGATGACTGGTAGATTATGCCATTTTAGTACATGAAGGAGCTCTGACAATACAGTGAACAAAAAGAAAACCTTCTCCAAAAGAAAAACTTTATTTAGTGGTCCATTCTAATATAGAGACCTTCCTGTTTGCTTAGCTATAACCAAATAACAAGTTTCAGTGGGTCTTTGAATAACTTGTTGCAGAATTGGGCTCTCTGCTTAGGGAAAGGAACAATATGTTCTGCAGTGTACTCCATAAAGATGTATGAAATACATGATTCAATGTAAGTAATGTTCACCTCTTGAAGTTGTTTAAGAGGATGCAGCACCCTGAACCATACTTTTATTTTATTTTAAAGCCCTAATAAACAATAAATATCAAAACACTAAAATGTGACATGCAGCTCCATCAAAATTCAACTTGTTTTTAAATTGTCATTACAGCTGCAGCAGCAATGGTTCACAAAGAAGTTGCTTTTTTCAAGTATGCAATAACATCAGCTCTTTCATTCTGCTTTTTAAGTCCAGCAAAAATCATTTTTGTACCAGGAATGTATTTCTTAGGTTTTCCAAATACTCCATCAGTGTACTCTCACTCCAGGTAACTCCAAAAAAAAAAAAAAAAAACAACAACCACCCAAATCAAAACAAAAGCACCCAACAGAAGTAAAACAGCAAAATGTAAGGCTAATCTAACATGGTACATTTCTGGCAGTTACCAAGAGTCTCAAGGTGTGGTGGTGCTCCTGAGCGTAATGTGCCCACAGTCCAAGGGGAATTTGAACATAAGTGACACACAATACAGGATGCAGAAAATGCAAATCATCTTTGAGTCACTTCAGTAATTCAAATATAAATCTCTTTTTTTTTCCATCATTGACAGTTGCAGTTCATCATTCATAGTTGCAGTTATTTGTGCCAGTTCACATAAATTACACAGTGCTTTTGAACTATGTAAATATCTTTGTAATTTCAGTGTTTAGAAGATCCAACTGCAAATGGCTGTATACAGGTTGACACTAAATTAATGAAAGCTGTGGACTGCAAAAGGACTGGATTATTGAAAGAGATTTGAAAAAATATTATTGTTTCCTTTCAACCCTGCTGAATTCTGCCTATCAGCAGACGCCTAATGTTGTACAGAAGCCTACTGAAGTACCTAATGATAAGGATATGTTCACACTCATGTACAATGGACTCAGATATCATTTTGTTGGTTTTCTTTTAAAATTTTGTACTAACACTCATATTATTTGTTCACTAAATTTTCAGTGAGGTAATACATGTTGATATACATGATATTTTATATGAAGGAAGTCCCACCACAAAGCAAATGTCAAAAAACACATCCCAGAAAACCACCAGAAAATTAAAAAAAAACCCACCGAATTCTAAAACACCTAGTAACCAGAAAAAATCCAATAGAACTGTAATTGTAATTAATAACTTCATTTGAATATAGTTTAGATTAAAATAATATTCATTAAAAATGAACGCCTGAAATAGAATACACAGACTTACTTTCCATTTGTAGGAGCAAAACAAGTGCAGCGCACCACGATGCCAGCAGAGGGCAGTGATAAGCAAACAAAATCCAGAAGCGCCCTAAACAGAAATGATAATTTGCCTATTGATACTGCACAGTTTTGGGAAAGCTGCATGCGTTTTGACCTGGCATGATAAATACTGGTACAATTTCTTTTTAGTTTATAAGCTGAATGACTTTGTTTCTGAAGCTGCAGTTCAGATTCATTTCACATTTATGCAAAGCAGACAGCTATGAGTTAACTCACTGTGAATAAGCCTCAATGTTGTACCTCTAAAGAAAATGTTTTTTTTTGTTTTTTTTTTTTTTAATTTTCTAAAATATGTTCCAAGCTGCACTGCTTGTCACCTCATATCACATTAGCTTTACCTTTCTTCTTTTTTTGCTTCTGAGTAGGTAAAGTTTGTCCTGTTCTGTGGCCAAATAAATCCCAAAGATTTGGTCCTCTCTTATGCTTTCCACCTTTTCCAACTATATGGCACTGAGAACATTTCTGAATAAAGATCTTCCTGCCTTTTTCAACATCACCCACTTAGGTCTATGTAAAAATAGTAAAAATAGGATGACATTATAGAGAAGTAGTTTGCTGTTACTGGCAACATTTATCATCATCTACAGTTTTTAGAAAATATTTGTCTTGTACAGT